CAATTCACTTATCGGCTTGCTTAGAGCAGGGGAGAAATGGTGAGGGGCAGGAAATGAGCATCTGTAACGAGACAAGAATCCTCTGTCCTGATTCAGCCCTGGGGGGTCCCACTGTTTGTGAATGGCCTTTGATTCTCAAAAGCTCCTACCCTGAAAATCTTGCTGGTCTGTAAGATGCTACTGGACTTGAATCTGGCTGTCCTGCTGCAGACCCCCCACAGCTGCCCTCCGAAACGAGGCCTCCCGCCCATCTGGGAAGGCCCCTTGCTTGAAGGAAGGTCTCTAAGTTAACCAAATGGCTCTGTATCCTTCAATCCCATGTCATAACAGAAAATGGAGGGCGAACGCCAGGTGCTGAATCGCCCATAGTTTTCCTTAGGCATTGAGGGGTTTTTGTTTTGGTTACGGTGCAAGGAAACTTTCAAGATAAAACACCCCACCCTTTGGTCTGAAGCCTTGCTAGGCAAGAACACCATCATCTTAGTCTACAAGCACAAAGGCTGGTACCCAAAGAGAATCAGAATCAACATTTAAATGTTACTCCAAAGTTTGCTTTCTTAGTTTTGGCTCTCACGTTTTCTATTCGTGACGATTCCCTTTTTGGCAAAACAGACCAGACTATTCTGAAATGCAGTGGGAATTTGTCCCATGGGTTTCAGAAGTAGACGGAACTAAAGGAGTACTATTTAAATAACCGCTAGGAGTCAGAAGAATTAAAAATTCAAAAAGCAGAGGGAAGGTAGTCGCCAACAGTAGCGATCTCCTGTATCGGGACCGCCAAACAGAACGGGAGGAAACACTCATTGGGAATGAGCCGGGAGAGAATTAAACTTCCTTTTGGAACGTGCCCATTCTGGAGGCAAAGTGATGTGGATCGGACACCACTCTAATGGTGTCACGTCAACCAATGCTGTGCAGGTGATGGTTTCAAAAGACGAAAGGGAAAGGGGCTGCAGGCCAATGGCCAGCACACTCATTTTTCTATATCTGTGAAACAGGTAATGGGGTTTTCTTAGTTTGTTCTTTTTATTATGACCAGGACATCCAGTTGCCAAGCTCTTTCCATTTTTGTTTCCCCCCCCCATGTAACGGTAATACACAGACTGAATGTAAAACAAGACAGGAAGAATAAGTGAAAATACAACAGGGCGTAAGTGGATTCCATGCTATCTTGATAATACTACGACTGAGATAACCGTCAATTATTCAGTGGAGATTTAAAAGTAGTTAATTTCCGAAAAATCAAAACTGCCTGAGCCTTAATAGCTAGCGGTTGCTGCAAGCCAAAAAGAGACCGGCTTTCTGCCAGAATTTAGCGCTGGTGAGGTTTGTCTTCCTTCCGTATCTATAGCACAGGTTCTGTTTCAGGGAAGGAGGGAGGATGAGGCCTGGTTTTTAAAAAATGCCAGGCCTAACTCCTGACTAACCTCCAGACACTGGTGTTTGACATGTTGCCAAGCAGGGTCATATCAAAGGTGTCTAAATAAAAGATTGGGTTGCTAAGGGATCTGAATCATGTAATATCAACATGCCATGGGATGGGGATTCAATCGCCCCTCATGTAGTCTTCCTTCTGCGTACGGAGGAAGCCCAAGCCAACTTCAGCAGGTCTTTCTCCAACAGAAGAAGTTGGAGGAAGCTTCCTTAGATTTTAGGAAGGCTTACAAACTCGAGCCAAAAGGAAAGGTGAAGTAGAAACGTATCAGTAATTAAATAAATGAACAAACTATGCTCGGTGGAACAGGAGGACAGAAGTAGAATCCACCCTGGCAGGGCTTTTTTTGTAGAAAAAGCCCAGCAGGAACTTATTAGCATAATAGGCCATACCCAACAGCCGGAACTCATTAGCATATTAGGCCACACCCTGACAGCACAGCTCATTCACATATTAGGCCACACCCCCATGTTACCAGAAGTGTGGTCATCCAGTCACACCCACCTATTGCTTGTTATTCTCTTTACCTTGTTTGTTGTCAAAACCCAGGGCCTTTTTTATGCCACGCACCCCTAATTGTAGCCAATCGTAATGAGTTTCTGCTGTTGAGTGTGGCCTATTATGCTAATGAGTTTCTGCTGGGCGTGGCCAACTTGGGAGCCAGCGAGAACTCCGTTCCTGTGTGTTCCTCCCCAAAAATAGCCCTGCACCCTGGTATTTCCGTGTTAAACATATGCACATTGATTTACGTCCATGCCACTAATAAGAGATTGAATTGTAGAATGCCCTGGGACTGGATTCCTCTATGCCGTTCGCTAATGACACTGACTCAGGGTTGACTCATGGTTTTGGAGGCCACACGAACACATACGAAGTTGCCTTCTACTGAATCAGACCCTTGGTCCATCAGGGTCAATATTGTCCGTGCAGACTGGTGACAGCTCTCCAGGGTCTCAGGCGGAGGTCTATCACATCACCTACTACCTGGTCTTTTCAACTGGAGATGGTGGGGATCGAACCTGGGACCTCCTGAGTGCCAAGCAGAGGCTCCACCACTGAGGCATGGCCCCTCCCTAAGAATGGGGGAGGCAACTCAGGCTATGAATTTTCTATGATGGATGAACCAGCACCACCCTATGGGGACCATACACCCATTGATGGGGGCGAGTGCTGTAGCCCCTTTCATTGGGGGGAGGCTCTGACCATACAATCCACGGCAATGATGAGTAGAACACCACACCCCTGTGGGAGGCCCATCTCTCAGAAATGGCGATTGCACTGCAGCTACCCCAGGTGTGAAAAAGCTCACGGAGTGAAGGACATGCATCGTAAGGTTGAGGCTGACAAAAGAAAGCCGCTACAGAAGTACCAACCCCCCCCCCAAAAAAACACTTTGATACGCCAAACAAATGAGGATCATAAAGTAACTGCAAATCAATAATAGCAGGGTTGTCTTCTGGATCGTACCAACTGAGTTCTAGAGCTGTCCCCAGAGAACAGGGAAGACCCTTGTACCTTAGCGTAGCCCATGTCTCTAATATGCTATGTGACAATTTGTTGTTGAGGAAGAGGAAGCATCTGACGTCAACAGTACACACACATACAAACAACTGTAGCACAATGGGGTGTGTCTGTGAGTTCAGATGCCACTACCTTGGCGGGCTGATTAAGTTCACACAACCATCCCTGGGCTTACTTCTGCTTTCCGATTTTTTGTTTGTTTGTTTGTTTTCAAGACTTACTTTCTGCCTCGGGTTGCATTAAAAGTCCCGCCGTATTTCTTCCGATTAAGGATGAGAGCAGCAATTTCTGGCACGTAGCGCGCAAACATTGCCTACATGCACGAAACAAAACAAAAAAAAAAACAAAAAAAAGGAAAACAAAAAAAAGAAAAGAAAAATGGCATGCAGAGAGAGTTCTACTGCAGCGGAGGCAGCAGAGCCGCCCAGGATACTTACTTTCTTCCACTAACCGCACTATAGGAACCACCATATTTCTTGCGGTTTCCTATTAACTCTATGATTTCGGGGACGTAGCTGGCAAACATGGCCTACGGGAGAAGATAGAAGACAGAAGAAAAGACTAAAAAGAGAGGCCAAAGAAAGGGGGAATGATGAATATTTTTAAAGAAGATATATCGTCTTTAAGATCTGAAAATGTAAAAGACTTAGATCTACAAAGGTTGCTATTTTAAAAAAAAGGGGGTGGGGGGTTTCCCCTAAAAAGGGCTGATAAAACCCAGACAAGAAAGTCAATGCAAAAGTCAGTCTTGAAAGAGGTGCACACCTGGGCCCGAGTGTGGGGGGAAGAACAGGCACGCAAAACAAAACAGATTATTATTATTATAATTATTATTTTTAAAAAAAGAGATCTGGGGATATCGAAAGTGATAAAGCCCATGGCTACCATTTCCTGAAAGGGGGGAAGTGGAAATATTGTATGATTACAGGCCGCCACAGTAAAAAAAAACAAAAACAAAAAACAAAAAACACACCAAAGACAAAGTAAGCCAAAACCTTGAGATATATCGATAGGGTGAGCGTGAACTAATTTATGAAAAGATAGATGAGGGGGTTTACACCTACTACCAAAGATAAAAAATGATCATACCATTCTCTCTGTACATAAGAATGAACATGGTATAACTATGATAATATATATATATATTCACACACGCATATATATATATAATCACACACACACATATATATATATACACACAGAGAGAAGTTTATATGTATATACATATACATTTTTAAAAGTTGACCTTTCACAAACGTTGATAAGGACATGTAAGGACATGTAAAAGAAAAGGGTGATGAGGAGAAAAATATAAATATATATAAATCTGCCATGTTTTGTCCAACAAACTTTTGCCAGGGCTTGGATACTTCTAAGAGCCGCTGCTGGTAAACCTAGTGTTGTGTTTTGGCATGCAAATATTGCACCCGAACATGCACGTGTCCCCGTTAACATATCTGTTACACAGAACATCCCTATAGAAAGATGTACGTGAGAGAGATAAAAATATGTTAGGCTACGTTCAATCTACATATGTCACATACGTTACACATTGAACGTGATCCACACTTACCTTACGGAGGGCAAACCTTAGCCCTAAAGAGGCTTTCTATTTTTTTAAAAAATAAGACAAATGCAACAGATGCAATTGTGTCTTTGGTTCTAACAGAAAAACAGAATATAAAAAGATCAATTTGATTAGAAGGTCACGTTCCCTTATATATATATATATGTTTGTGTGTGTGTTCTTGCTTAACTGGACAAGCATAGAAGGGAAATCACTTGCTCACTGGTTAGGAAATTTGCACCCAAGTTAGTTCGCACCGTGTCGTCTCGCCTGGTTGCCACGGTCTGGAAGCCAGGCGTGCCGGGCGCTGCCATTGCTTGGAAGGCGCAAGCGGCTCTTGAAAGGCCATCCGAAGCCACCGTGTTTGTTGGAATATTGGGAAAGGAATACAGGGGGGGGGGGGCTCTTGAAACCGCAGCTGCCTTGTAGACATTATCGTCATTATCAACAACACACGACTACTAACTATTAGTTTGAAAAGTTAAAGGTTTATGATCCTGTTAATTCCTCGGCTACTTTTCTGTATCTGCATGCATGAGACTATAGTAGACCAATGGGTTCTTATTTCTCATTAAAGCAAAATGCTTTCACTTTACACAATTTAACTCTACACAGACTGTTTTAAAGGGCTACGACTTAGGGTTGCCAACTCCCGGCGGGGAAAATCCCTGGATATTCGGGGTGAGTTTGGGGAGGGCAGGGACCTCAGCAGGATAAGTCCACCTTCCAAAGCAGACATTTTCTCCAAGGGAACTAATCTCTCTAGCTTGGAGTTGAGTTGTAATTAGGGTTGCCAGCACTGGGTTGGGAAAAACCTGGAGATTTGGGGGGCAGAGCCTGGGGGTGGGGCTTGGGGAGGGGAGGGGCCTCAGTAGGCTAGAATGTCATTGGGTCCAACTTCCAAAGCAGCCATTTTCTCCAGGGAAACTGATCTCTGTAGTCTGGGGCTCCACTGCAAGGAGGTTAGCGCCCCAGCTGCAGTTCTGGGAGGTCTCCAGTCCCCACCAGGAGATTGGCAAGCCTAGCTACTACGCTGCAGGTTTTAAAAAAAAGAATAAGTCAATTGGGAAAATAATGTAAGCATTTTACCAATCCACCGAGGATGAAGAAGACCATGAAAAGGCGACCGAGGGTTGTTTTTGCATAAACGTCTCCGTAACCAACAGTGGACATTGTGACCATCAGTAAATAAACACATTCCCAATAAGTAAGCGCTTGGTTGTTTCTGAAGTCTTCCCATGGATCCCCTGAGTTCTCCACCTATAAGGAAATAATAATAGCCAACAGATTTTATTTATTTCATCGAACTTATGAACCGCCCACCCTGCAAGCGGGCTCTGGAGCGCTTTACCACCTTATAAAGCATTTAAAACACAATCAATCAATAAGTAAATCAGACCGACAGCAAACCAATCATTTAAAACCAATCAAAGATGGCGACATAACGATCCCCCTTTGCCGGCGACATTGCTGTCCCGCATGGCAGGGCTGGGGGGGGTACGTGGGGGCTACAGAAGAAAGAGGGGGGCTGTCAGCCTAAACCTCCCGTCGCTGCCTTCAACTAAAAACATCTCTGCCTTTCAGGCCCTGTGGAATTGCATCAGATCCCGCAGGGCCCAGATGTTGTCCGGTAGAGAGTCCTACCAGGTCGGGGCCAGGACTGAAAAGTCTCTTCTGAGACTTCCAAGCACTCAACAGAGAGATACCACCACATCTGCAGGGCAGAAGTGCTGTAATCCAAGGACCTTAAGGACTGCCTGCTCCCAGGTGAACCAACCCCCACCCAAGTGATTCGCTTTGGAGACCCTCCTTCAAGTGTCCCTGCCATTTAAGGCCCAGCAGGTGGCAACCAGACGCAAAGCCTTCTCAGTCGTGGCCCCAAAACAATGGAATTCCCTCCCCGGGGGAGAGTCGCCTGTCCTCTGCTAGCAGCTGAGGACTTCCCTGTTTCACTTGGCTTCCCTCACTGACTCTCCTCCCTCTTTGTGTCATTTTAATTGTTTTTGTGTTCTGGTTGTTTTTAATTGTTTTCTGCTACGTGTATTTTTAAACATTTCGGTGGGTTTTGTTGTATGGTTGTTTCTCATTGGTTTTATGATATGTATTCGTAAAAGTAATCTTAACGGTTTTGATTGCTCGTCACCTGGGTGGACCCTGAGTGGGGTGGAAAGGCGGCGTAAAATGGTTGTAAAGCAGCGGTTCCTAACCCTTTCGAGCCTGTGGGCACCTTGAAAATCTGACCCAGGGTGGGTGTGTGGAACTTTGGAATTGCAGGAGGCGGAGCCATGCACATTTCAGGGAATGAGATCATGCGAGAGTGATTAAAATGTGGAATTGGCTGCCAGAGGATGTAGTGATGGCCACAAGAATGAACAGCTTTAAAAGAGGATTAGATAGATTCATGGGGGGAGAGGTCCATCAGGGGCTACTAACCATGGTGACTCAAGGGAACCTCCATATTCAGAGACATCCTCTGAATCCCAGAGCAGGAGGCAACATCAGGGGAAGCCCTCGGCCTCTATACCCTTTTGTTGGCCATCCAGAGGAACTGGTTGGCCACTGTGTGAGACAGGATGCTAGACAAGATGGACCACTGGTCTGATCTAGCAGGGCTCTTCTAATGGTCTTATCAGGGGAAGGCCTCGGCCTCTCTGCCCTGTTGTGGCCCTCCAGAGGAACTGGTTGGCCACTATGTGAGACGGGATGCTGGACTAGATGGACCCTCCCCGGTCTGATCCAGCAGGGCTCTTCTGATGTTCTTATCAGGGGAAAGCCTTGGCCTCTATGCCCTGTTGCTGGCCCTCCAGAGGAACTGGTTGGCCACTGTGTGAGGCAGGATGCTGGACTAGATGGACCCTCACTGGTCTGATCCAGCAGGGTTCTTCTGATGTTCTTATCAAGGGAAGGTCAGAACAGAAATCTTTATTACGGTTTGTAACCAAGACAAACAGTCCAACCAAGCATACATACATCTACCTCAAAATAATTGAAAACCGATTCCGAGAGAATACACTGCATTAGCCTAAGAGTCTTTGAGTTACGCTTTAAGAGATCTTTCCTAATTCTGTAGGCTGCTGCCAAAATTTTGGTGCATGCTAATGTCACCTGTGGATTGGCATCTATCATAAGTAAAATACTAATATCAGAATCCGAATCAAGGGAAGGTCTCTATGCCCTGTTGTTGGCTCTCCAGAGGAACTGGTTGGCCACTGTGTGAGATGGGATGCTGGACTAGATGGACTACTCATCTGATCCGGCAGGGTTCTTCTTATGTTCTTATCAAGGGAAGGCCTTGGCCTCTATGCCCTGTTGTTGGCCCTCCAGAGGAACTGGTTGACCACTATGTAAAGCAGGATAGTGGACTAGATGGACCACTGGTCTGATCCAGCAGGGTTCTTATCAAGGGAAGGCCTTGGCCTCTATGCCCTGTCATTGGCCCTCCAGAGGAACTGGTTGGCCACTGTGTAAGACAGGATACTGGAGTAGATGGACCACAGGTCTGATCCAACAGGGCTCTTCTGATGTTCTTCTTATGTAACTCTAATAGTAACTCTCCAACACTTCAGGTAGAATCTCAATTTAATAGGATGCCTCTTGTTTTATTATTTTCTTGCACCCAGGCAGCTTACCTTCTGTGTCACAATGAAGATCTGATTGGGTGCTGTGGTGGCAGCTGTCGCCAAAACAGTTGTTTTTTAAAAAATGGGTACACCCAATCAGATCTTCAATGGCCAGCCAGAAGATCTGCTGGGTCGAAGCTCCACTACTTTCTAGAAACACTTGACGGGTGCCATGTTGGGGGACTCCATTCTAAAGAAAAAACTGATACACAAGTATGGAGGACCATCAGGGGTAGGGTTGCCAACACCCAGGTCCGGGCGGGGGTTCCCCTGCTTCTGGGGGCTTCAATCTGCAACCAGCTGAGAGCCAGTTTGGTGTAGTGGTTAAGGGCGTGGACTCTAATCTGGGAGAACCGGGTTTGATTCCCCACTCCTCCGCTTGCACCTGCTGATGTGACCTTGGGTCAGTCACAAGCTCTGGCACAGCTGTCCTTGAAAAAGAGCAGTTTGTGTCAGAGTTCTCTCAGCCCCACCCACCTCACAGGGTGTCTGTTGTGGGGAGGGGAAGGGAGAGGAGTTTGTAAGCCGCTCTGAGACTCCAAGTGAAGGGCGGGGTATAAATCCAATCTCTTCTTCTTCTTCAGCTGGCCAGCAGAGGAAGCCCCACCCCCAAGAGTGACCACCTACCTGGCCTCTCCCTCCCCCGCTGCCCGATTTTAAGGGCTTCAGCTGATTGGCAGGGACCACGTGGCCTGCCGACCAGCTGTAGGGCCCTTTAAATCTAGCAGGAGGGAGGGAGAGGGGCTGTCGTAGTAGCACACTCAGATCACAAAAAGATGCTTTAAAGGGTCTTTTTTGTGAGTGGGGTGGGGGCCACGGGGCTGATTTCCCCCAGCCCCATGTGCCACGGCCCCCACTTGGATTGCAAAAAAGACACTGAAGAAATGAGCAGTGTCTCACGAAAGCTTCTCCCCTGCCACAAATTGTGTTAGTCTCGAAGGTGCTCCTGGACTCTGGCTCTTTCCTACTGCTACAGACAGACTCACACAGCGACCCACCTTGACATAAATCAAAGTTTGGAAGAAGAAGAAGAAGAGGAAGAGATTGGATTTATACCCCGCCCTTCACTACCGAAAGGTGTCTCAGAGCGGCTTACAAACTACTTTCCCTTCCCCTCCCCACAACAGACACCCTGTGAGGTTAGGAGGGGCTGAGAGAGCTCTTGACAGAAACTGCTCTTTTTCAAGGACAGCTCTTATCAGAACTCTGGCTTGCCCGAGGTCATTCAGCCAGGTGCAAGTGGAGGAGTGGGGAATCAAACCCGGTTCTCCCAGATTAGAGTCCGCGCACTCAACCACTACACCAAACTGGCTCCCGAAGCAAGAGAAGGTATAAACCTTTTACCAGTAAACCCCCAAATGGCATGGCAATGTTTTTTTTTTTATGAAACTCAATTACCTTCCACTGCAAAGGCTGTAAAAATGTTTCTGAAAGAAAACAAAAATGCTCCGTTTTCCTTTTTCACAGCCAGTTCATGTTTCTTCATGCTTACTGTTCCCCACAGTTGCCGATCCAGGGGACCACTCATACATGGAAGAACACACATTCACACATTTGGATGTGATAGCATTACTCTGTAATGTTCCCTCTAAGCTGTGGAGTCCTGTGAGCAAAAATTCTACTTTGTGAGCTACTTGCATTGAAGTTGTGAGCGAGCCATTTGGCTACTGCGTAAATTAGTTTGCTCTGGAGCCACCTCCTTCCTGAGCTAAGATAAAAATCTGTGAGCGGGAGGCTAAAAAACTGTGAGCTAGCTCACACTGACTCAGCTTAGAGGGAACACTGCTCTGTGCTGTTGGTGGTTGCCAACTCTGCGGTGAGAGATTGCCGGAGATTTTGGAGGTGGGGCTTGGGGAGGGTTTGGTGAGAGGAAGGACCTCCGTGGGGTATTGTACGATAGACTCCACCCTCCAAAGCAGCCATTTTCTCTAGGGGAGACAGATCCCTGGAGATTTCCCGGGAGATCTCCAGGCTGCACCTGGAGGCTGGCAACTCTAGTACTGCTTTGCTGTTGATGGGACATGCGCTTTAGCCCACACAAGGAAAACCCGCCGGGCTCCCCCAGTGATAGGGATGCACCCCCTCTTCTCCCTGACACCGACCCTTTGGTGAAGAGTTTCACAAAAAGGCGAGAAAAGACGACAACCAGAGGGACAGTTTATTTAATTATGCACGTGAAACATTGCTGTGCTGCCTTTCCACCTAAACAGGGTCTCCCAAGAGGGCGAATACCAAAACATTTCAGCATTAAAACAACATTTAAAATACATGATATATAAAATCAGGGGTCATGTTGTAGAAAAAGAGCTGCAGGGGCTCATTAGCACACCTAGTAGGCTATTAGCATAATGGCTCATTAGCATATGCCACGCCCCCGGACATCACCGGAAGTCGAGCAAAAAGGGGGGGAGGCATCTTCAAAAGTCTCCCCTTCCATTCCCCAGGCGGGCGGGAGGGAGAGCGAAGAGAGAAGGGGTTTAAAGTTTAAACCCCTTCTTTCTGGAGTTGTGCCGCAGCGGCAGTGCGATCTTTCAATTGTATTCTATGGGGCCATAGAATACAATGGAAAGATTGCACCGTTGTTGTGCTGCGACTCTAGAGAGAAGGAGCTTGCGGGGCGGGGCTTGCCGCTACCGCCATTTGTGCCCGCTCCTGGGCTGCCGGAGTGGTGCTCCAGTGTGCTCCGGCCCCAAATTATCCCTGTATAAAAATAATTCAATTTAAAAAACACAACACCAGAACCAGGGAGGAGGGCCAGTAACGGTTGTCGGGGTATGCCAAAGGAAACAAACATGTCTTCACCTGCTGACAGAAGGCACCCATAGAGGGGGACGGACGGATCTCTCTAGAGAGGAAGCTGCAAAGTTCTGGGGCCACAACTGGGAAGGCCCTTTCCTCAGGTCACCACCCACCTAGCTTCAGATGGTAGGGGCAACCAAAGCAGGGACTCCAAAGATGACCGGAGTGAGCTACAAGCATGGACGGCTTCAAAAGGGAATTAGATAAGCATTTGGAGCAGAGGTCCATCAGTGGCTATTAGCCACAAGGTATAGATAGGGACTCTGGGGCAAGTGATGCTCTGTCTTCTGGGTGCTTGGGAGGGGGCAACAGTGGGAGGGCTTCTAATGTCCTGGCCCCAACTGGTGGACCTCCTGATGGCCCCTGGTATTTTTGGCCACTGTGTGACAGAGTGTTGGACTGGATGGGGCTTTGGCCTGATCCAACATTGGCGTCTCTTATGTTCTTATGAGCGGGTAGGTTCATATGGGAGAAAATATGCTAGCCCCTACTGTATAGGGCTTTAAAGGTCAATACTAGCCCCTTGAATTAAGTTTGGAAACAAACTGGAAGCCAGTATAGCTGGAACAGGACCAGACTGATAGCATCCCTACAGTCAAGCCCAGTCAACATTCTGGCGGGAGCATTCTGTACCGACTGCAGCTTCCGGACAGTCTTCAAGGGTGGCCCCACGTAGACTGAATGGCTCGTTGGGTTGATTTTGTGAGAGGGGAAAAAAAATGTTTGCCAGATATCCCTCCCTCATGCACACGCACACCCCCATTTTCGCTATCAAGAGTCAAGGGACACTGAGTCAGAACTAAACTTCATGGAAATCAGTCCATAAGGATGTGACCTCCATCTTCGTGGCCTGATGCCCCAAGAAGCCCCTTCAGCGCCTGTGCTGCTGACAAATCCTCCCTGGGCGCCAAAAACTGCTGGGAACACTGTTTGCGTACTAGCTGGTGACATTACTTGCAACGGACCACAGCGGAAATATAAATCCCTGACCAGGTATGGCCAGCCTAAGACTTGCATCTCCTCTGATTTGTCACAGAAGAAGAAGAGATTGGATTTATACCCCCGCCCTTCACTACCCAGAGGAGTCTCAGAGTGGCTTACAAACTCCTTTCCCTTCCCCTTCCCACAACAGACACCCTTGTGAGGTAGGTGGGGCTGAGAGAACTCTGAGAGTCTGGAAGTCAGCTATAATTCCAGGAAATCTCCAGGCTGGCAACCAAGGCTCCCTCTAAGCGGTGGAGTCTTGTGAGCAAAAATCCCACTTTGTGAGCTACTGGCATTAAAGTGGTGAGCGAGCGATTTGGCTGCTGCATCAATTAGCTTGCTCTGGAGCCGTCCTTCCTGAGCGGAGACGAAAATGTGTGAGCCGGAGGCTAAAAAACTGTCAGCTGGCTCACGCTAACTCAGCTTAGAGGGAACACACCCCAACCCTACTGGGACTACACTGCTGGGCAAGGCAGAACGGCACTGCTTGCTCGTGGACTGCAGCCCAGATGCATAAAATCGGCCAATGTCAATCTCACTGGAACCAAGCAGACCATAGACTCCCCACGGTTGCCGTGCCTACTGTTCTGGAAAATGCCCCACCATACTAAAATGGTGATTTAAATCAAACCCAGAGGCTTCAATAATCCTGGAAGATAGTTTTATATATGTGAAAAGTTTCAGCCAAATGATTTGTTAGTGTACCCTGCCTTAAATAGTTTGGGGCGGGGGGAGGGGGGGAGAAAGAAGGATGGGAAGGAATGAATACATTATCTGATGTAACAATTAAGGTGTCTTTTGAAGAATTTCTACTCTTACATATTAGCAACACGGAGTGGCTTGTTCTTCTAATATCTGGTATCCCCACTTCATATTTGATGAGAAATTGTTTCCCCCCTTCTTATTATTAAGGAAATATTGCCACCTAGTGGTCATGTCTTGTTATAGAAAATTCGGGCTGTTCCTGAATTATGTTACTGATGTATTAATGATCAGAATGAGATTAGAGCATGTTGAAAGAGGTGGCTCTCCTGGCTGCACCTGAAGTCGCTGCGCTTAACATCTGAACTCTGACAGGGAGACAGATGCATCCCGAATGTCCCAGGGCACGCAGCTGGGAATTGTCTGACTAGCTTGTCCCAGGGCCGACACGCAAATGCGAAAGAGAGCCACATAGTTCCAAGCGTGCAAGTCACCATGTGCCAGAGTCTGGCTCCCCTTCACAGGTCGTGCGTTTGCCCCAGGACACGCTGATCAAACAGGGGTTCTACAGAAATGGAAAAGCTGCGATGGGAAACTTTTTTAAAAAAGACAAAAAGGAAAAAGAAGAAGAAAAACCCAAACCGATGGCTACTCAAGGAAGTAACAGATCCCAGCAGCTGGTCAGAGAAGGGTTCCCAACTCTGGGCTGGGAAATTCCTGGAGATTTGGAGGTGAGGCGTGGAGAGGGCGCGATTTGGAAGGGGAGGGGGCCCTTGTGGCATATCATGCCACAGAATCTACCCATCAAAGTCGCCATAGTCATCTCCGTAATCAGCTGTACTTCCAGGCGATCTCCAGGCCCCACCTGGAGGCTGGCAACCCTAGATCAAAGTGCATCCCCCCCCTCCAAACCCAAAGTGTACTTACCAAATGTATAAATCCAGCCGCTGTCAGCCACGTGCTGATAAATATAGAGCACAGATTCACCAACTTGATGGAATTACTGGGGAAAGGGCAGAAAAAGACAGACGTTCTCAGAGTTTTCTCTTTGCCAAGCAGCCCCGCCCCTCCGTCGCCACCCTCGGAGGACCTTTATCAGATTCAGGTGGGCACGGCCGTGTTGGCCTGAAGCAGCAAAACAAAGTCTGGGTCCGGTGGCACCTTTCAGACCAACAAAAGGTTTGATTCTGGGTATAAACTTTTGTGTGCGTCAAGCTTGGGCCTCTCTTGCCATAGAAGGCTGTCTAGCCAAACTCATGGTCTTTTGCAGCATTAGGGGTTAACGGCTTTCTCAGACATGCTCATTCCACTGTTTTCATCTACATGTACTCTGGGGCGAAATACTTCACTGCTGTTTATCTTCTCTGCTGGGGAGTGGTGGTGGATGTGCGTGTCAATGTCTGCTTCAGGTTAAATAGCGCCAGCTTGGAGCAGACTGCGAGACCCTGGGAAGTATATGATCTCAGCGTCCAACATGACCTTGTGACGCGGGGAGCTTCTAGATAATGTAACCGTTAGTTTGTAGGTGCGGGGTGTGGCCACAAGGGCCAGTTTGGATCTTTGGCAGGCTGAATGAGAATATTGATTGGGTGGTTGCCATAGGGGAGATGTCCTGCTGGTAGTATATGGTCGGACCTGGCATCTGGAGGACAGTTCCGGCACAGAATCTGTCTATGCTTGGAATCTCTCTACCTCTCGATAAACAAATCGTGCTACTACCAGAGTGTTGTGGGAGTGACTGCATCCAGGACGTGACAGTGTGCATGCACACAAAAGCTTATACCCAGCATTAAACTTTTTGTTGTTTTTAAAGGTGTCACTGGACTCAGAACCTTTATTAGGCATTTGTTACAAACACTACACCATCTAAAATGCCGCACAGCCAATTAGCGCAAATCTACATGTCAGAAAGCATGCTGAAAAATGGTCATAAACATAAAACAGAGATAAAATTATTCATGATCATTCACCACCAACCCACAGGTCCTCACGGGCTTGTGTCAAGTCAATTCCAACCAGTGTTCCCTCTAAGCTGAGTTAGTGTGAGCCAGCTCACAGTTTTTTAGCCTCTGGCTCATACATTTCTGTCTTAGTCTCAGGAAGAATGGCTCTAGAGCACACTAATTTATGCAGTAGCTAAATCGCTCACTTGCAACTGTAATGCCGGTAGCTCACAAAGTAGCATTTCTGCTCACAAGACTCCACAGCTTAGAGGGAGCATTGCTTCCGACTTATGGTGACCCTATGAATTGGTGAGCTCCAAAATGTCATCCTGGTTAATACTTCCCCAAGAGCTGTGGGGTGTTAGGCCTCACAAAAAAGGAACATGTCCAATGGGGGGGTGGGACCCCTCTCTCTCAGGGGATCTAGCCCTGGTCACAGCAAGCTTTACCTCCCGGGGGCCTGGAATCACCAGGCGGTGTTGGGTCCCCGACCGAAGTGCTCTTGGGGGTATATATGGGGAAAGGCGGTCCCTCAGGTAAGTCGGACCCTGGCCATGTAGGGTTTTAAAGGTGAGTACCAGCACTTTGAAACGGATTTGGTAATAAAACTTAAAAAGAAAAAAGATCTGATATCTCCACAGGTCTTTAATTCATATTAAAACTCTTCTCTCCCGCTCCCAACCTCTGACTTGCCACATCCCAGACCTAAGTGCCACTCCCTTGGTCAGACCTTTACCTGCCTGCCCTCCCACAGTTCCGACTGGTTCCTTTAACTGGCTCCTGCGTTGCCAGGATCCACGTCTGTGGTCTACCTGTCTAAATGCCCAGAAGAGGAAACAGCTAAAGAGTTTGAGGAAATCTACATCAGTGCAGATTGGATGGTCTGGTGGGGAGGATGGAATTCAAGACACCCGAGTACAGCGTTAGGCATTCTGATTTTGTGCCGCACCACCCAAACTGGAGGACAAAATGATGCAAAAACTACCAAACAGAATTCTTGCTGCCAGGGGTCATTTCGTAGACAAAAAGGTGCAGGAGCTCATTAGCATAACCCATTCGCATAACTTATTTGCATATGCCACACCCCCTGACATCACCGGAAGTGTGTCAGAAGGCAACACCCACCGCTCAGGCTCCACTGGACTGTTTTGGATTGCTAGCTATTGGTGGGGGGGGGACGTGCAGATCTGTCCTCGCAGAGGAGGGAGAGCTTGTACCTGAATAAAACCTGGTCTTAAAGGTGCCACTGGACTGTTTTGGACCAGGGGGCCGAGAGGGGGGCTCTGCAACTTACCTGGCTGCTTCTAGCTCTGACTGAGTGCTGCTGGGAGCAGGGGGTGGGGCTTGTTGCATGTGCCCGCCCACTGGGCTCTTTACTGCCGGAGCTCCGCTCCTGTGCTCCTGCAGGAAATGACCCCTGCTTGCTGCTGTTGGCAAACTGAGCCATCCCAGTGAAATGAAAATACCGGCTTGTTTTTGCCACGGCTCTGGTTGCCAGACCATAAGCCTGTGAATCCCGGGGAGTTCTGTTGCCATCCAACCCACAGAATTCCAGTTTGGGAAACTCCCCCGAGTCGAGCCCCAAATCAGGACAATCGGCTTAGGAGGGTCTCCCAGTTAACGGATCCAGTCAGAGGTGGAGCTTCTCAAAAACCTATCTGAACCACACACACCCCCGGTTATCGGACTCTGAACCAGGGAAGGGTTGAGAACTTTCTGAACCCAATCGGTCCACACACTGCTTTAGGGGTCCCCAAGATGAACAGATGAAAAAAGGATCCCAAATCTCTGTCATTCTGTGAAGCGGGGTCGTTTCGTAGAAAAAGAGCTAGGGGAACTCATTAGCATAACTCATTAGCATATGCCACACCCCCTGACATCACCAGAAGTGTGTCATAAGGCCACACCCCCTGACATCACCGGAAGTGTGTCATAAGGCCACACACCCCACCCCCAACGGTCCTGGCCGCCGCCACCGGCCTTGCAGCTCCACTGCCGAGCCTCATAAGGGGCCCGGTGGTGGACCTGCAAGGCCGGCGGGAGTGCAAGGAAGCCCCGCGAAGGCCCTCCCTGGCCCCAGGCAGGCAGGGGTGGGGAGAGGCAGGGAGGAAGCAACTTACCCTCCCTCTTCTCCTGCCTCCTCCTGGCTGAATGAGGGCCGGAAGCGGGGCGGCCGGAAGCAGGGGGCGGGGCTTCGTCATGTGCCCCGCCCCCCGTACCTCACCCGGGGGAACTGCGATCCCCCACGATCCCCCCCCGAAATGACCTCTGCTGTGAAGGGTACACTCTTGGGAATTGGGGCCATGCGGAAAGGGAAGAAGGTCAGTCAGGTCTTAAAAAGACCCTACTTGTTTTTGCTGATTGAATCCAGAGTCTCTGGACTGCTAGTAGTTTTAAAGTGGGGAGGGGGAAGATGTGGCCCATTAAAGTCAGTCTTTTCCTCTTTGCCATGTTAATGACGCCATTGGGAGACTGGCAAATCTGACCCAGGGGCTGAGAGTTAAATGCCCTCTTCCCTTCCCCCGTGGTCTCAGTCAATGCCGTGGAGTCTTGTGAGGAAAAAAACCCTACTTTGTGAGCCACTGGCATTAAAGTTGTGAGCAAGCGATTTGGCTACTGCATAAATTAAGTTTGCTCTGGAGCCCCATCCCTCCCTGAGCTGAGACAGAAACGTGTGAGCCAGAGGCTAAAAAAACCATGAGCTAGCTCACACTAACTCAGCTTAGAGGGAACACTGGTCTCAGTTCCAGGTGACTGCTAAATGCAGATTCCTCTGACCCAGCAGAGTCCAGACTTTCATGGAGGATGTCTGTCTCCCAACAGGGTCCAATGACACCCGCCCACACCCACCCATGATGCCCTCTGAAGAACCATGGGTGGCCAAACAGCGGCTCGAGAGCCATATGCGGCTCCTTCACACATATTGTGCGGCTCCCGGCAGGGCGGCTGAAGAAGCAAAGAGGAAGCGTGCTTTTTCTCCCTCCCTCCCTTCCCCCTCCATCCTATCCATTTGCTTTCTCAGTTCTCTCTCTCTCTCTCTCTCTCCATCTCTCTCTCTCTCTCCACCTCTTTCATTCTTTCTTTCCACCTCTCTCCCTTTCTCTCTCTCTCTTAGACAGATAAATATCATTAGCAAACAAATATCATTGGAAGAATATCACTGTTTCTACCCCTTCTGTTTTTTTTTATTTTAAGCCGTCTCATTTCACGTTAATAAAAAGCAAATTGGCATATTTTAAAATAAAAATGTGTGTGTGATAGTCATGTCTTGTGGCTCTCAAACATCTGGCGTTTATTCTATGTGCCTCTTAAAAAGGTAAAGGTTCCCTTGCTCGAAAGCCAGTCGAGTCCGACTCTAGGGTTGCGGTGCTCATCTCCGTTTCAGCCAAATGATTTGTTAGTGTAAAGGTTCTCTTGCTCGAAAGCCAGTCGAGTCCGACTCTAGGGTTGCGGTGCTCATCTCCGTTTCAAAGCCGAAGAGCCAGCGCTGCCCGAAGACGTTTCCGTGGTCATGTGGCCGGCATGACTCAACACCAAGGCGCACGGATCGCTGTTACCTTCCCACCAAAGTGGTACCTATTTATCTACTTGCAATTTCTTGCTTTTGAAATGCTAGGTTGGCAGGAGCTGGAACTAGAGACGGGAGCTCACTCCATCATGTGGCACCTGAGTCTCGAACTGCTGAACTACTGACCTTCCACAGCCTGCAGTTCAGCGTCTTAACCACTTGAGCCACCACAGCTCCATGTGGCTCTTACGGTGAGCAAGTTTAGCCACCCCTGGTATATGCCATCTGTGGAGAAACATAGCCTGGCTAGGAAAAAAGTAGTTTCATTTATATTTTTTCCCTCTGCAAAATATCAGTCTTTGCAAAATCTCTATCTCTGATCCAGTTTTTAAAAATCCGGGCTCCTTGTTATTGCTCTGCTCTCAGAAGGCAATGGCAAACCTCTCCTGCCTTGAAAACCGTACAGGGTCGCACTAAGTCGGCTGCGACTTTATGACAGGCAGTCATGAGTCTTCCCGTCACAATACTTATTTATCCATTTGTTTGTTTTTA